CCTATTAGTTTGGTTCAGAATGAGGTGATGGTTCTTTTCAGGAGTATAGGCCTGATGAATTGTTGGTTCGATAGTTGGTTATGAATTTCTATGCACCTTTTCCGTCTTGGCGGTATTGTAAGAGTCAGAGCAAGACCTATGTAGGCCATGAGGTGCAATGGGAGCATCAGATTCGTGGAATTTCGATTTATTCGATCAGAGGATGCTATTGTGGTCCTGTGAGTAAAGTGGTGCAAGGTATGAATTTAGCTAAGGTATGCAGTTGTGTTTTGGGTGCTGCGTGTAGTTATTGATACGGTGAGCGTATGTTGGAACAGGCCTAGCAGAGAATTTCGGATGTTGAAACTGGGCTCCAAGGCTTATTTGCCTAAATGAAAGAGGTTATCTTTAGATCTGATCGAGCTGATGTGCCCAACTGAGTTGTGGTAGCACGGGTAGGTGCACGAGGTATTAAGCAGTGATTTCAGACAACCCCAGCACAGTCCCTGGAACGTTCGAGGACGAACGTATGTTTAAGTGGGAGAGGATGTAACAACCCGGCCGGTCGTTTTGAGCCTTAGCACGCCGTTCAGCAGTTCGAGGCCATGAGCAGCTTCAATTCAGGTATTACGACTTGTACGCGTGGTCGGAATTGAATTTCGGGAAGTTCGGGGTTGATTCGGAATGGGGATTTTCATTTCGGAAGCTTTAAGTTGGAAGAATCAACTAGGATTGGATTTTTGAGTGGACGACCTCGGAATTGGGATTCGAAGGCTCCAGCAAGTTTGTATGATGATTTTGGACTTGGGCGTATGCCCGGATCAGGTTTTGGATGACCCGGGAGCGTTTTGGCGCCTATTGTGGAAGTTAGCATTTTGGAAGAAATTTCATAAGTTTGGGTTGAAGTGCATTTCAGTGTTATCGATGTGCGTTTGGGATTCCGAGTCTGGGAGTAGCTCCGTATGGTGATTCTGGAGTTGGGAGCGCGATCGGAAGTGAATTCGGATGTCCGTGGAGAATTTTGGAGCCATTTGGCTAAGGATAGAAATTTGAAGGTTTTTGAGAAATTTGACCGGAGGTGGACTTTCTGATATTGGGGTCGGAATTCGATTCCGAAAGTTGGAGTAGGTCCGTAATGTCGAATATGACTTGTGTGCAAAATTTGAAGTCAATCGAACGTGATTCGATAGGTTTAAACATCGGAAGTAGAAGTTTGAAATTTTAAAGTTCATAAAGCTTGGATTGGAGGTCGATTCGTGGTTTTAGCGTTGTTTGATATGATTTGAGGCCTCGAGCAAGTCCGTAATGTATTTTGGGACTGGTTGGTATGATTGGTTGGGGTCCCGGGGGGCCTCAGGTGGATTCTGGGTGGTTAACGGATCGAAAATGGGATTTTTGAAAGGGCTGAAGTTGTTGGTTACTGATATAACCGCACCTGCGGAATTTGGGCCGCAGGTGCGGAGCCGCAGAAGCGGCCAGGAGAGCCGCAGATGCGGTTTTGGCCAGGAGTGAAGAGACCGCAGATGCGGTCATGGAGCCGCAGAAGCGGGACCGCACCTGCAGTGGACGAGGCACAGAAGCGGAAAAAGGGAGCCTGGAGGAAACCGCAGAAGCGGTAGATTGGCTCGCACCTGCGGGACCGCAGGTGCGGAAAGTGCTGGAGGCAGAGATGTGTTTTAAAAATCGGGATTTGGCCATTTCCTCTCATATTTTCTTGTCTTGGGCGATTTTTGGAGAGCTTCAAGTGGGATTTTTCATCATCAACGACAAGGTAAACTAATCCCACCTACCTTGAGTTAAATACATCGATTATGTATAGATTTTAGCATGTAAATTGGTAGAAAATTGGGGATTTGAGGAAGACCTAGAAAATTGATATTCTTGAAATTTGACCACGATTTTGGGTATGAAATTGAGAGTAAATTATATATTTGAGTTCATGGAGTCATGGGTAAGCTTAATCTCGAAATTTTTTGGAATCCGGGCACGTGGGCCCGAGGGCGATTTTGTCAACTTTTCGATCGGGGTTAGGAATTGTTATAAATTGGATTAATATGAGTAGTTCATCGTATATTAATGAATTTGCATAATTATTGGCTAGTTTTGGAGTATTTAGCATTGATTCAAGTCTTCGGAAGGGCGTGGAATGCCGGTTATGGATCTTCGGAGCGAGGTGAGTCTCCTTTCTAACATTGTAAAAGGGAATTGTCCCCATAGGTAAAATAATTGGTTATGTGCTCATATTTGTGGGGGCTGCGTACGCATGAGGTGACGAGAGTCCGTGTGTAGCTACTAATATGTGTAAGTCCGGGTAGTCTAGGACCCAAAAGCATGCTATACTTGGAATATCTGTGATCTTATTGACAGTTGAATTTCTTAAATCTTATCGAATCGGTAAATGAATTTCTAGGAGGATTAAAGTTTTTTTTTAATCATTAAAAGAGAATTGGCTTTTATTTGGATAAATGATCCCCGATAAATTCTTAATTTGCTGATTGAGCATGTATTTTATGTGTACCTGCGTCGCATGTATGATTCGCGAGCAGGGTGATTGTTTAGTTAAATTTGACCGCGTCGCATGTGTGATTCGCGAGCGGGGTAATAGATGCATCTATGGTTCGTGCCGCTCGACCCTCGGCAGTGCACAGGGGTCAATGTCACTTTTCTAAACTCTAATGTCACTAATCATGTAAATTCCTCGAATATAGTTTCTCTTTGGGATAATAACATTTTTCAACATTTCTTGCGTGTATCTTACTAAAAATAATTAGTCTGCAACCTCCTATTAGCATAGGCACTTAGGGGTCGTTTGGTAGCCGGTTAGAGAGGAGTTATCTATGTATTAAATGTATGATAACTTTATACATTGTTTGGTTAAAAGAAAGGGGAAGAATAATCTCCACGTAGAAGCTAGCATAAGTTATACAATGTTTGGTTGTTTTTTCCTCTTTTTCACATAAAATATAGCATTGCTAATACAATGTTTGGTTCATGTATTTTCTTTTCCGCATAACTAAACATGTATAAGTTATGAGGGAATCTATGTATTATTTATGCAAGGTAGAAGGTGGAATAACTTATACATAATTAGTAATACTTGTATTAAAACACAAAATGACAAGAATACCCTTTATTCAAACTTGTATTTTTTTGTTTAAAAAAATATATTTAAACTATACTAACAATTAATAAAAATAAAGTAAGCTAATAATAAATAATACTCATATTACATTTATATTACTAATCCTTATATAACTACTGCATAACTAATCCCCGCATAATTAATCCATGCATAACTAATCCCAACATAACTCAACCTTGCATAACTTATCCCTGCATAACTAATACCTGCATTACTTATTCCTACATAACTAATACATACATAACTAATACCTGCATAACTAATACATGTATAACTAATACCTGCATAACTCTAACCGGTAACCAAACGACCCCTTAGTAACCGTGTCTATATAAACTTAAACAAATGAGAAAGAAACACATACTCCCGTCATTTTAATTTATGTGAACTTATTTCCTTTTAGTCCGTGCCAAAAAAGAATGATCCCTTTTCATATTTAGAAATAATTTACCTTTATGCAATGATTTATTTATTTTATACCACAAGTTCAAAAGTCTTTTCTTTCTTTCTTAAACCCCGTATTACAGTCAAATAAATTCACTTAAACTAAAACGGATGGAGTAATGTTTTTGCATCCGTTGGGATTAGAACTTGAACCCATTTGGATTAGCTTATTTTATGTGCTTTTAAGCCAAAATAGCTTTTAAGTCATTTTGTAGTGTTTGGATAAAGTAAAAATGCTTTTAAGCACTTGTTTTTAAGCTAAAATGACAAAAACAAACCAAAAGCTAAAAACTAGAATTCCAAACTTATGACTTAAAAGCTATTTTGACTTAAAAGTCACTTAAAAATAAGCTCATCCAAGCGGGCTCCTTGAAACTTCATGGTCTTAACTCACTTCATTGACCACTAGGCCAAATTTTTAATGTAAAATAAGTAACATTTTTGATACCCTAATTATTAATAAATTTTAATTTTGATCCTTGTGGTATATAACTCAACGTATTTAATTTTTAATTAATAAAAATGTATATTTTTAGTCCTTTATATAGGAAACACATTGAACTGAAACTCTTTTTAGAATTACATTACAGTAAAATAATGAGGAATAATACAAACTTAATATAATACATTGAGAATTAAAATGGTGTAATGCTGAAGATTTACAAGCAGAGGGATCAAAAGTGTAATGTTTAATAAATACAATAAGGACCAAACTATAATAGGTAATAACGTGAGGTACTAAAGAGAAATTTTCCCTTTTCTTTCACCTCTTCTTGTGCACCTGCGGTCTTTTTTGTCAGTCTTTAGTCGTCACTCCTACAAAAGAAACACGTTTTTAAATTTCAAAAATACCTGAAAAAATAATTATAAAAAGGTGGGAAGCTACAAAGAAACCACTAGGAGTGTACTTTTTGGGACATTCCAAGATAACCCCAAAAATAGAAAAAAACCAACAAAGGGTTTTTCATGCTCTTGATCACATCATTCTTCAATGGCTCGGTATGCAGATTCCCTTTTATTTTGACACCATTTTGTATCTTTTATTAAAATAACTATATGCTTGACTTATGGCTGCTAAAGTTTCAATTTTTATTTACATAATCAGTAAACTGATATGATAAAGATTGGATTTTTACTAATGTATGTTGAATGTTGAAGTCATGTGATGACTCAAGTTGTGATTTTGGATAACGGGTCAAGTTCTATTTTCTGTGTTGAGTTTTTTTTTTTGGTTTTGGGGGGGGGGGGGGGGACTTATAGCTTCTAAAGATTCAATTTCTATTTACATAATCAGTAGACTGATATGAAAAAGACTGGATTTTTACAATGTATGTTGATTCTTGAAGTTAAAGGATGACTCAAGAAGTGATTTTGGGTAATGGGTGAAGTCGTATTTTGTGTATTAAGCTTTTTGTGGGGGTTTGCCCGGGGAGGAGGGGGGGGGGGATGTTGAGTTTACTACAAAGACTATATTCTTTACCTGCTGCTAGGTATTTTAAGTCAAGGGATGATGAATAGGTAAAGTTGTATTTGTCTATTGAATTTTTTCTGAGCAGATACTTTGGCTTGATTCCATGATAGATTGGACTTCTTTTTGTTCAAAAACTCAAAATTGACTGATGCTTTAAGAGTTGTAGTATGTGTTGATGGTTCCTTTCAGTAATGGGTTTGAAGGGGTTTCATTGGTCTAGTGAGGTCTGGCTCTTTACTTGTTATTGGGTTCTTGAAGTCAAGGAATGACTTAAAGTTTAGATTTTGATGATTGGTTAGAGTTGTATTTGCCTATTGAGTTTTCCTTTCGTTTAAAAATTCAAAACCGACCAATTAGTGATACTCGAAGAGTGGTTCTAGTGGCTTTTTATCCTATGAATCAGTTTAAAGGGATTACCTTGGTTGAATGAGGTTAGCATCCTTATGTTGTGTTATTGGTTCTTAGTGGAATACCCAAAGAGGGCTGAGCATGTAAGAACCAATTATGTTCGCTGTTTTTTCAGTGATGGAGCTTAAGAAAGAGATAGATTGAATCATTTGAGCCTGTTACTTAGATGCTTGTTACTCTTCGTTTTCCAGGTTTTGGGGGTTTTAAGCAAAATACATGTTTGATAGTATTGGCGGTGCTGTTTTCTCAATTTAGCTGTGAACTTTCTGCTTCCTACTCCCAACTGGAAATAATTTATGCATGAACTAAACTAATTGTTTTATGAGGTACAATTTGTACTTGTCTAAAGAACTTTTTGATGATGACAAATGTTGTTCCCAACTAATTTGGGATTGGCCCCCGGACTTTGGTCTAGTTGAAGAGCTTAGCACGTGTGTGTTGTTTAAACACACAACCCCTAATGTTTAAGTGGAAAAGGGTAGAGGGGAAAGCCCATTATCCATTGAGATTTGAGTGCGCTATTGGTGCACCCAACTTCTGGTCAATGAAGTGGGTGAGAATCATGAGGTCTCAGGTTCAAATCCCTACGGAGGAAAAAAAGCACTAGGTAATTTATTCACATCTATCCAAGTCTCAGCGGACAGAGTTACCTGGTACCTGTTGTTGGTGTGGGGTGGCAGGTATCTCGCCAAATTAGTTGAGGTGCGCCGTCCGCGCAAGCTAGACCGGAGACCACGGTTATAAAAAAAAGTGCGGTATTGGCTCTTTGGCATTTCTCGGTTATAAAAAAAAGTTTATTTGGGATTGAGGCATAGGTGATTACTTAGTAATTGGATATAAATGTTATGGTACTTATTGGAAAAGCTTGGTTGTCATGTTTCTGCTTTTGTTTAGCATTTGCAGGATGTTAAGTTTTGGTTTTCTTTCCTATAGTAATGCTATGCGATATTACGATTTTTTCGGGATGATTGGGCTAATGAAATAGCCTACCAAAATTCTTCCATTTGGACAAATTTCTTATACTATGTACTGATCTCGGAGTCTCAAGTCCTGAATTTTAGATTTAACATCTTCACTTTGACAACTAGGCTATGTCAAAGATAGTCTTTTTGTTGTAAGATTGTAACACCTGATTACGTGGAATTATCAATGTGTTATTCATTTACTCTTCAATGTGCTTGTCTGTTCAAAAGAATCTAGTGGATTTCTTTCTTTGATTTCGAACTAAAGGGAAGAGTACTTGTTTGTAATCTACTTCTCTCTCTTGGGTCTTAATAATAAGTCATATTCTTCGTAAGGATATTTACGTATTGTTTGGATGGTTGTTACCCATTGTATTGTATTGTATTGTTATTCCAGATACAATGTTTGTTTTGATTGTTCATATAAAACTGATTGTATCGTATTGTTAAATTCATTGTTCCAGAACAATGAAAAGCCCCATTTTATGAAACAACCAAATCGGTGTGGTGGGATTGTTCCGTATTTCTCTTTCCAATTATGCCCACACTAATTATTCTATATTTCAATTTTACCCTTTACCCTATTATTTATATTATACTTCACCCAACTATGTACTTTGTCTCCATCCTTCTGCCGTTTATTTTTTTGGTTAGTTTTCCCTCTCTTTTTTTTTTCTGTATTTTTATCTTATCTATGATCTTTGCAAACTTTTTGCTAATTTTAATTACATATATAATTTACTTAGGCTTCTGCCATTCCAAACTACAGGAACAGAGGTCCGTTGTTCTCTGTTTTGATAGGGCTATAATATCTTTTTTTTTTTGTATGAAATCAGTTTGGTGCTTTCGTTACTATGGTAGAATGATGATTACCTGTGAGGAAGATAGGGAGGTCAAATAAATAAATTATTTTTATGAGTAGTTCTTAATAAGCATCGTATTTAAAATAATTGAGGGTATTTTAGTAAATATAGCAGTACAGTACAATACAATACAGTCAAACCAAACAATAAAAATGTTATTTAACAACAGCAAACGATACGATCTATCCAAACGTTGTATCCATCAAAACAATACAATACGGTACAGTACAATACAATACAATACATTATAAAACGATGGGTAACAATGATCCAAACAGAGTGTTAGTATGCCGTAAACAAGGGAAACAAAACTAATGACCTTATCCCATGCTTATTGTGGTAAACAAGATGAGTTCACCCTAGATAGTTGAATCAAATACAACAACTTAGCTTCAAGGGCTCAATTCCAAGCTAGAGGGATTGCACTTGTACAAATATTCACTATCCATTTCGCTCCACTTGGTCTTGTTCATTTCGATATTTTGGGGTTTTCCAACTCGAGAGATCCTCTGCATTTTCTACTAACATAAAAATCTCTTACAAGAAAAAAAAAAGCAACATGACTACGAGGGTGTTTGGCTAAGCTTATAAGCTGGTCAAACTAGCTTATAAGCACTTTTCGGCTTATCTACGCGTTTGGTAAAGTTAAAAGTGCTTATAAGCCAAGTGCTTATAAGTCAAAAATAAGCCAAAAGCCATAAGTTGGTCACCCCCAGCTTATGAATTTTTAGCTTATAAGCACTTTAAGTTTGACCAAGATTTTTACTATTTTATCCTTAAAATATTTCTTTTTAGAACAAAACTCCTACATCGATACTCACTGCCTCAAGTATTCAACCTAACCTCCCTCCCCCCTCCCCTCCCCCCACCTCTTCAAGTCTGCAATTCTCATTGACTATTTAAGATAAGCAAATTCTCTATTCCTTTGCATACTTATATCTATGTGATTGTGTATTAATCTTTGAACTGTATATAATAAACGAGAACATATCAAATTTTTGGTGCGTTGCTTTCTAAGTGTTGTGGTGATGAAGACAATGTTTGTTTCTCTTCAAATAATTTGTCCTATTTAGGTTTATTTTTTACTGAGAAACTTTTGTCAATTTATTAATTATTATAACTTATAATTATATGCTTATCATAAAATAAATTATATTTATCATAAAAATTATCTTATCAAAGTATAGTTGTATTTAAAATAAAATGACAAATAGAATATTTTGTATTTGAATCGATTGAAATCTAAAATTTTGAAGAAATTACGCCCTTATAAGTGTAGACAGTTCTAAGGTTATTTAAGTCATTTTAATAGAAAAAGAGCTTATCAGCCCTTTTTTTTATCAAATACTGCAACAACTTATTATCAATTTCAGCACTTGTACCCAAACACGTAACTGCTTATTTATTAAATCAATTTCAGCACTTAAAAATGCTTTTCAGCACGTAATGCTTATCAGCTACTCCAAATCAGCTAATCCAAACGGGCTCTACAGCTTAATCTCAGCTAGTCAGTATCATCTATAAGGATCTTTTTGCTTCAATTTGTTCTAGTTTTCACCAAGTCTGGATAGATTCTGAGAGATCATAGATTTTTTTAAAGCAAACCGTCGAAAGAAATAGAAATTGGAGGGGTGTTATGTAAGGAGGAGATGAACTCCAGTTGATGAAGGAGTAGTTATATGAGCATGATCACTGGTGATATTAAGATGTGAGGAAGACCAATTTTGAAATGACTGACTAATGGATCACATATGAAATATACTGAAAACCAAGGTAGATGTAGATCTAGATTGTCTGCCATTACCAGTTCAAGTTTTGTTAACTGGAGTGTTGAAAGTGACAAGACAGGTAGCAAAGTCATATTTTTCTAAAATCTGTAGTATATTAAGTTGGTTATACTTTGGAGTCCTTATTACTTTTAATTTTTATTTCTCCTTCTTGAAGATATACATCTTGCAAAATTCTACCGTTGCTAATTTTTCACCTTTTTCAGTATTTCTAACTCTTTGCACAGAAGTGATGAGGTGTTCTTAATTACAATCTTGATTGCTAATTGATTTTGAATAGAGCTTCATACATTGGATGACCAATGTTATCGTAAAAAAAAAGTTTAAATATCTCTGCATCATAGTTGTCATGCTTGGGATAACTAAAGTTAGTAATATGTGGAAGGGAGATCTTTTATCTAATTCCATCGTATGTGCTATATATTTAGAAACTAAGAAAGCGCTTCAAGATCATAGTTAGGGTTATGCCTTGCAGGCCGTCATGGTTAGTTGACAGTAGGAGAATTGCAACAAAAATTAAGAGTGCGTCAGGTGATCCTGGAGCAGTGAATTGGAAGAGCAACCCCACAAAAGCTTGCCCTAACTGCCAGTTTATCATCGACAATAATGACGTAAGATTCCTCTCACATGAATTTCACTTCTACCTGATAATCTATTTGTTGATTTTCTTGCTGTGCTCTCTAATGAGAATTCTTATTATGCTATGCGATAAGGAAAAAATGACCCCTTTTTTGAAAGATCTCGCTGATCTATTCCCCTCCCTCTCCCCCGATTTTATCATTTTTTCCACAAAAGTGTTCGTGATTTGGTAAACTCATATCTATTAAAAGGCTTAACTCAATATCTCTTATAGCCTGTTTGGCCAAGCTTTTCTTGGGCCAAAAGTGCTTTTTTTGGCCAAAAGCACTTTTGGCCAATAATTGAGGTGTTTGGCCAAGCTTTTGGAAGGAAAAAAAGTGCTTTTGAGGAGAAGCAGAAGCATTTTTTGAGAAGCATAAAAAAATAGCTTCTCTCCGGAAGCACTTTTGAGAAAAATACACTTAGAAGCAATTTTCAAAAGCTTGGTCAAACACTAATTACGGCTCAAAAGTGCTTTTCAAATTAATTAGCCAAATACAAACTGCTTCTCACCAAAAGCACCTTTTTAAAAAGTACTTTTGAGAAAAGGACTTCTCAAAATAAGCTGATTTTAGAAGCTTGGCCAAACAGGCTATTATTCATTTGGGTTTTTTTGGTCATTTTTTTGTCTCTCATTAATAATATGCAGTAGAGTCAATGTTTTTGAAATATTTGGAGATCTTTATAGCATTTGCAGATGATATTTTGACAAATTAAAAGTATGACTCCCTAATGAAAGTGGAATAATGAGACGACGAAGAGGACTGGTTTCCTAGTGCTGGTCTTTTGCTTTTATTTTCCTGTCCGATAAGGAATTTGGGCCATGAAAGTGATGGTTTGTGGTTGCTTATAATTAGCTTCCTTGAAAAGTTTTCAAGAACCCCTTTCCCTCAATGAAAAGAAAAAACATAAAATAATTTGAATAGAAGAAAAGGAAACAAAGGGAATCGATAGCTATAGTACCTTTAACTGAAACGTTAAAGTTGGCCTTTCCAGGTTAGCAATGACTGGCCAGGATTACCAAGAGGTGTAAAATTTGATCCAACTGATCAAGAGATTATCTGGCACTTACTTGGAAAAGTTGAAGTTGGCAATCGAAGTTCCCATCCTTTTATTGATGAGTTCATTCCAACTGTTGATGAAGATGATGGAATCTGCTATACGCATCCTCAAAATTTACCAGGTATAAAAAAGATATTGGATTCCTGTTCTTCCACTTTCTGCTTTTGATTTATTATGGATTTTTCGTTGATGCTGAATACATGTTTTGTAGGTGTCAAGCAGGATGGAAGTGTCTCGCACTTCTTTCACCGAGCAATTAAGGCTTATAATACAGGAACGCGTAAGCGTAGGAAAATACATGGTGATAATTTCGGCGATGTCCGTTGGCATAAGACCGGTCGGACAAAACCTGTTATCTTGGATGGAATTCAAAGAGGGTGTAAGAAGATTATGGTTCTTTATGTAAGCCCAGTTAAGGGCGGGAAAGCCGAGAAGACAAATTGGGTGATGCACCAATATCACCTAGGAACTGGGGAAGATGAAAGGGAAGGGGAATATGTCATGTCTAAAGTATTTTATCAGCAGCAGCAGCAGGTCAAGCAAGGTGATAAAATTGAACAAGAATTGCCCGAAGACGCTGACTATCTGGTTGCTAAGGTTGATCCACATACCCCCAAGTCTGTGACTCCCGAACCCCCTCGCGGTGAGAGGATATCTTCAAGTATGGATGCAAGACAGCAAATTGCCGCTTCTAGCATCAGTCCCACTACCCAGGTATTACCATGTGTAACGTTTTTGTTGTTGCCGGTCAATGTTAATGTTACATAAGAGTAAACCAATTCAGTAAGCTTCTCTGTTCTCTACTATCCAAGAAATTGATAAAGAATTAGAGAAGATAGCACTTTCTAAAAGTTTAGTCTTGCACTAAAAGTAATGGAAGCATATTTTAGACGGGAAAAATGAAAATATACTTAGACTGAAGTACGGGGGTTTATCTTAATTAGTTATTTGGTGCAACTTTGAGGATGGACCTGATGTAGACACGATGCTAGAATTTCTCAGCTCTCTTCAGAATGGGAGCTGAGATTTTGTCTTTTGTGCTGTACATTTCCAGTGGTTTTGGCTTTTTTATCATGCAGTTAGAGCAGCCCGTTAGTTCTGTTTACATCAGTAAACACTTGTCTACTTATCAAAAAAAGAAGCGCACTCCGGAGGGAATGGATTCAATATTGTTGATCATTCTATAAACTGTGTTCAAAGCTGAAACCACATGATTAATAATAGTGCTCTTGATCATTATTATGTAGCTTTCTTTTTCTTTTTAGTTGATGGGACATTACTTGAGCAAAGAAGAGAATGTGACTACAAGTTTGTTGCAGCTGATATCTGCTTATCAATGATTAAAAAAGAATTATTTGTTCGGTGCTGCTTTCTTAATATGTTTCTTCTTGCTTTGCACTCAGTATCACGACGTGGATTACACAGAAGATGACATGGGAGCTCTTCCTGATCAGACCGAGAATCAAGATCAAATCATAGAGAACCAAATTGATGAAGCTGGGACGATAGTTGATAACGAGACTGGTGATGACCCGAAATGGTGGGATAGCGAGTCACAGTATTTGCTAGATTCTCAGCAACTTGTAGAAGGGCTATCCTTATGTGATGATCTTCTGGCGAGCCAATCTCCAAATAGGGATGGAAATGAAAATGACAAAGAGAAGAAGTGTAAACCTAGTCTTGCTGATTATGCTAAATTAGGACCAGAGGATCTGAAAAAGGATTTGGAGGACTGCCAACATTTGGTTCTTGATCCAGCCAACATAGACATGGACACGCCACCTGATTTTCGACTTAGTCAACTTGTAAGTCTATTCTTGTATTTGCCATAACGTTTATAGAATAAATTTTTTGTGTCTTTGTTTATGTCATTATTCTTATATGCGCCTTAATTTATATTCGACATCAAATTTCTGTAGGAGTTTGGATCACAGGACAGTTACATTGCCTGGGGCGGAAGCAAGTTTGGTTTTGATTCAGGGGAGCATGTTGGTTAGGAGAAGTTGTCGAGACTGCTAATCGTTGTTGTTGTGGTTGAACTATGTCTGCTGCAGGTTAATGGAAATCAACTTATTAATCTTGTAACCAATGCCCTAAAGGGACCTAAGGCTTTTTTGTGATGCGCAGTTCATTACTGATCTGGTAGCTTACTTAACTTTGTACATAAATGTTTATGACTTGCCTGCTTAGTTACTTTGTGGTTGTTACAACTCTGCTTTTTCTACCTTGTGCTTCATCATTTGCCATATGACTTGTATTAAATCCTTAAACATATGTTTGCACTTAATGTAGGATATGCAAAAGATCATATATTTTCACATTTCAGGCTCTTTTGGTGTTGTTCATTTACATTAGTCCTTTTTCATATGACCAATTATATCAGGAGGTCTTTCTTTTTTATGTTATTGTGTGTTATTTCCATCTTCTTTTGGACGTGATATTTCTAATCTAATCCAAATTCCAATCTGTCCGAGTGTTCATCCATTTTATCATCAGTATATTTACGGACATTCGTGTGACTTATAGGTCACGACCTCCCAGGGTAGGGGTAAGATTTGCGTACGCACTATACTTCCCAGACCCCACATGTGGGCTTATACTGGGTGGTTGTTGTTGTGTGACTTATAGGTCACGGGTTCGGGCCATGGAATCAGTCACTGATGCTTGCATCAAGATAGACTGCCTATATGACGCCCTTTGGGGTGCGACCCTTCCCCGGACCTTGCGTGAACGAGGAATGTTTCGTGCACCATTCTTCTAAAAATATAATTTCTATATAGTTGTAATTTATCCATGTGCTCTTCGAATTGCATGTGCTCTAGGATTTTAAGCACATGTACTACGTTAAAATAGTGTAATATCTTTGAGCTGTTAATTTTTTTTAGCTGATGTTGTGAGAAGATTACTTCACATATCAATATTCATTGTTAATCCTTTGTATTTTTAACTACAAGAAGATTATATTCCTTGTACATATTTCCTTTCCTCGTAGCATTGGTTGGGACTGAGATATGGTTGATTTCATGAACTAAATATGTTGAAGCTATAGGCCTTTAAATTATAGGAGGGGCCATTTAGTGTTCATTTATTCAAAGCATGATTGTAATTTGAATACCCCATATCAGTAGTCACCTAGCTATATGTGATATGTCTAAGAGCTTGGCAACATGTTTGAGAAAAAGTGAGTTTTAGGGTAGGTAAGAGGTGTCTCCTTACAAAGGGGTCGCAGTTGTATGACCCAAAAATTAGATCTAGGTTTTTATACAATCAGATTTGTAGAATTAGGTTAATCAAAGTCGATATGAATATTCAATAGCAGATTTATCACTTTTATGGCGAATATTTAATATGTAGTATTAGATAAGATTATCTGATGGAGCAATAAAAGCTTAAAAACGTAAAAGATAGCAATAAATGATATTAAATAGCTTTTGAGTAATAAATGAGGCAAAGTTTACCCGATAAGGGTGAGATCTCCAAATGTGCTTTCTGACAATGATAGATGGTGATAAGCAGTTAAATATTCCGATTCTTCTTGGATTGGGTGAGAAGGGTAAAAGAAAATAAATGTAAAGTTAGGCTTTGTTTCTATTCAATAAAGTGAGAATCATGTTCTTTACAAAAGGTTCAACACCCCTTCGGAACTACATCTCTTCCTATTTATAAGAGTACATGGGTCACAAAACCCTAAGTACAATAGAAAGGAATATTCATTGGTATATTCTTTAGGGACTCTAAATCCTAAAATTAGTCGTTGCTTCGCACCGAAGACGGGTGCTCATCCTCGTACTTGTCTTCTGTTAAACCACTTCGACCTCGACGGCAATTTATCTTCTTTACATAACCTCGACCTTTTAGGGTCAGGTCGACACGTCACAACCTACGAACGCTTTATCGCCTTTAACTAGGTCATATGCATGAAATGAAGTTTTTCGCCCATACAGCAGTGACCATGGTCCGGCAACTTGTTACCAAAATGCAAGTCTCCACAAAGTCGTAAGACAATATGTTGGGATGACGCCTGCCCAGTGTCGGAAGGTCAAGAAAATTGGTGACCTGATAATAGGGAAGTCGACGACCGTTCTTTTAGGGTTAGGATTAAAAAAGACCAACCCACGTAGTATAAACCAAAAACTATATATAGTACGAATAACTAACCCATCATGACTTTGCATATCTGGATCTAACTTATAAGTACAGTATAAATGAATTGTTACATAATTGATGATGTAAAAGGTTACTAGCCTTGTTTTTTAGATAACTAATTTCACTTGCTCTAAATGACTTGATAGTATAAAAATAATTTATTACTGCCAGTGTATACAAGTTAGGGTATTATTCAACCTATGTTATAAAACAGCCAAAGGTGTTCTAAGTGTCTTTTGTATAAAACATGAAAAATGGGCCATTGTTTGCTATATCTAGAGTTTGATCCTAAATCTAGCAATTGAAAGAATAGACACAAAGGGTCTCTGACACTCTGGCCATTTTTTGGAGTCTAAACACATGCCAAGATTTCACACTGCACTTTAAAAATTTGCAAATAATTTTGTACATATGGAACAACAGAATTTACTACTTTTCTGTTGTCCTTGTGTCATCAATAGTATGTTGTAGAATAGAAGTACTGTAATATTTACTATTAAGTTGCTAAAAGTTTATTTATCAAAGATATTTTTGTAGTTCAAAAATAGCTCCGTTCTTCAAATGAAATTCTATCAGATATATGTCATATGTCAAACGTAATTGCTGTAAAATCTTGATTATGACAACACCAATTATCTTTTGTAATCAAAATTTATATTTGGAATAAAATTTTCTGACAAAGAGATCGCATGGCTGGTTAAATAAATAAGAATACTATATTAGTATATTACTGACTTAAGATCTGTGCAGGTGCCCATATGTAGTGACAAGAGTAACCAGTGGCGGAGTCAGGATTTCCGCTAGGGGGTTCAAAAAAGAATGTAGCTAGTTGGAATTGAATCGATGACCTTACAGAGGTTTTGAACTCCCTTGACCACTAATCTATGTTTTTGGGCTGTGTTAAGGGGATTCAAAACATAATGTATAGAGGTAAAAATCAAATTTTTCCTTATACTAATTTTTCGGCGAAGGGGGTTCGGGTGAATCCCCTTCCTCCCACCTAAATCCACCCCTGTGAGTAACTACTATTTTACCCTGAGAGATCCTAAATTAAGAAAGTTGTAGTTGTACTACATACTTTAGTTACCGTAATGAGTTATGATGGGACGGATATGATTTCTTCACCCTTACCGGAAGCTAACCTCGGAACTAGATGTAATCACCTTTTTGATCTAACACCAAAGGCGATAGCCAGGGATCATCCTCTCAATAGAACAGAAGAAGAAATCTTCCTAGGAAGAACCTAGATGATTTCTGGAAGCATCCTTTATTTTGTTGTTTACGGTAACAGCTTGCAAAGTGGGAGAATGAGGATTGTCGGATCAAGGGCATGAAAACTATAACGTAGAGTTGGAGGCCTTATTTCTGGGATATTCAGAAAGATATCGGGAACATTTTTTCTTTTAATGCGAACTTCGATTAGTCAGGTCCCAAAATAAATATCGGACACCTTGTGCGAAATCGAAAAAAATACTTTAGTTCATATTTTCATATTCATAGGAGTGGTTCTTGAATCAGAGAAAGAGGAAAGGCAAGAACCAACCAACCGATATTGTTGTCTCATGCATATCCGGTTTCATTAAAGCATCAAATCTTAGTATATAATAAAAACTTACATTTATTTTATGAACCATATGAATATATGATGCAACTGTTTTTCATACCAAACCTTAACTACTAATCGCCGCCTGATATGTTATGACATTAACTGTTATACTTCTCAGTGTATATCTTTAAATAAGATTCTTGTCAATTTTGAAATAATTTGATTACATAAATATTTTTTTACAATTAGTATATATTACTTAAAAGCTTTTTACATTTGTAACAACGACGATATATAGACGTGCATGTTTTATAAGATTCTGATCATGAAACTATAACTTGAGTAGGGGGCAGATCTAATGTATTGATTACGGATTCACGTGTACCCATTAGTTTTTGTGTGCCTATGGTTTTTTACAATGAAATTTACTAAATATTTATTAATTTTATTATGATCCAGTTATTATTGTAGTATTAATTATAAATTTTAAATTTTAAATCTGCCTCTAAATTAAACGTGAGATGTTATAGACTACGAGGACATTCTGATCGACTCGATGGACTTCAATATTCTAATTTGGCAAAATATGTCAAGCAATATTATTACCAAGTATTGCTCTCATTCTCCTTTTCCCGTTCCTGACCTTGAGTGTGGAGGGATTAGCCTTGAGTTAGGTCTTGATTATTTATTCCATTTGTCAGTTTAAGTACTTGAATGAGAATTACGAATATTTATTCCTAGACTATATATCGATTGGTGACCTAATCCCGCTAAGCAAGAACATATTGCACAACTTTAAAAAGACTCTGTCTCTTAGGAGAACTGCAGGTCTATTTGATGTTATATATATTCTTATATAAAACTTTTTATTAAAATTGAAATAGGAATGTGATATGGTAAATGAAAGAGACATATATAGCTAGATGCAACTACACGTGAAAAAAATAGTAGGAGCTACCATATTGTAATGATAGGTCGCAAACAAGCAAAAAAAAAAAACAATTGATGAACCTTACCCTATTTATGTTCTATTCAGTCCACCAATTATTGTTTCTTCAATCAGTACCTTTGAAACTATTTATATAAAATAACATATATAGAAAAGGAAATGAGTATTTTAGCCCACAAACAAAGAGGGTCTGAACAAGGACAAAGTACATTCCCTTTACAGTATGTAGTATGCACCTTCAACTTCTAATCCAACTTGCTCTGTCCCTTTGTGGTCCTATGCCTACATATGGACTAAATACATTTGAACAAAAAAAGAAGAATATACAAAAACTTTAAAATGAAAATGTGTGTGGGTGGGTGGGGAGGGGGGGGTTGTTGGGGAGGTTGCATAAGAGTGTATATTTTACATGTATAATACATGCAATAGATATATCAATTTTAATAAATTTTTACACAGAGACAAATTTAGGATTTAGATTTATGGGTTCAACTTTTAAAGTTTTTAACATTGAACTCATTGTATTTCTAAAGTTATGGGTTCAGACTTATCATTTGTTGCAATTTTAATAAATTTTTATACAGATTTATGCTCCGCGTCGAAAGTACTGAATTCAGATAAACCGACGGCCAAACTCTACTCCGCCCTTGTCTTAGTCCTCCTAGCATACGGCTCGGCAGGGGCAAAT